TATATATGCCCCATGCATCCATTTTAAGACACTGGGAAAAATCACTTTTTTTCCCAATCTGAATCAATGTTTGGTCTGAAGTTAGGCACTTTTTTTTTTTTTCTGCATTAACTAGAATCTGTCTTCGCACATAGTGGAAGATGCCTGGGGCTGAGCAGTCCTCTGCAATCTCAGCAACCTGCCYCATCATTGCCTGTGATAGTTATGCTGAAAAAAATAAGATCAACCAAATTTCCAATTGCCCTTCCAACTGTGGGAGAAACAGATCAGCCTGTTCTTTACTTCTGAACAAAAGGTCCCAAAAAGGTCAGCCTTTCATAGGAAATACAGATCATTAACACTGAATACGCAACTATTTTGATGCTCAATTTTTGTTTGTATAACTGGAATTTGGTTGTACCTATTTCAAGATGTTCTATACTTTATACGTATGATCTTTAGGGTCCTTTTCAAACCATTCTCTGATACCTATATGTGTACACAGACACACCATTAGCTTGTTTTCAAAATGATGCTGTTTTAAGAATGCAATTGCTTCCTTCGAATGGGACATAACACCTGCCAACTCTCCAAATAGAGAGCATAAGGAGTTTCAAGATAAAGATTTGGAGTTAGTAGACACCAGCATCACAGTAATGAGATAAATACCTGATGAAAGCAGAGGTGGGGAAAAAATATGATGTTTTATAGAAGTCTGTGTGGAAAAGTGGTTAGAAGGGGGGTAAGGAGGTTGGGATTCAAGGCTCAGCCTAGCAAACTGAAAATTTTAAAAAATTGATTCCCTGAATTTTTATGCAATTAAATGCTTGGAAAAGAAAGAGACAMCTTTGGCCAGGAGGCCAAGAACTAGTTAAGGGCTGATATCCCATAAAACACTTATGGCCAGTCAGACTGGCTTTCATGCCATATCACAGAGGTACAACAGATAATTCAGCAGAACTAAGTCCTCCTCCWTTATAAAACCACTACTATGTCAAAATAACATCACTGTCACTTGAGGTTCAACCTTTCCCACATCCAGGTCTTGGATGACCTTGGAAGAGCATATTCCCAGATATTCCAATGAATCAGGGCCATGGARGTATGCACATCCAAAATGGAGACATAAAATAGAGCAGCTAAAGATGCCCAAACACTTTCATGTGCTACTCCTTAGCTGGAATTAAAGCTCAAAAAAATAGAGAAACTATTTTTATTGACAGCACAATAGTTTCATGTACTAAAGAGGCTGACTGAAATCATATCATTTGCTTTTATGCAAACTCTCATATGAGTTAGAGGCAAATACAACATGTAACAGAACAACTGACTTCTCATTGCTAAGTGTGTCCGGACTCAAATTAGAATAAAATAATAGAATTTCCAAGCATCTGAAAAGACAACTGCACTAAATGACGAGAATTCCAAGGTCAAACACCCACTTTGAGGAGTACCTTAACCTGTTTTGCWCTCACCTGATTTACACTCACCTTTTTCCAGAGAGTAACTGCAGAAACAGCAGCCAAACAATTATAATTTGCGACTTTCTAACATAAATGATAATTTCTTAGGCTCATTCTTTTATATTCCATCGCATATTCCTACAAATAAAAGCTGCCCAAAAATACTTTGCGTGAAAAACTAAATGTTCCCAGTGACAACTCTGATCACATCATTCCTTGCACATRAACACTGAAAGATGCAACAACAGCAAGAACCACTAGTTATTCTTATAACTTCAAGACTAAGCCCTAAATATAGTATGTTTTCAAATCTCTTTCTTAAAATTCAAATAATATGTTCATTGCTTTAACCAAAGGCTAGCAAAGTACAACTTGTATTGTGCTGCAGGCCATAAAGGGAATGTTCTTTATTTGAGTCATGGTTGGATGAAGATGAAAAGTARTTTTTGAAAATTTACAACAGTTTTGACACTACTGTGTGTTTCTCGTTACATGTTATCCCCCTCTATTTATCAGACTGACTCCAGACCTTTCACTACCTTCAAAAAACAATTTTTATCAATTCTTCATGTCCTCATAGCTAACCATAGGAAGCTGCATAGAATACAGGGCAAATCCCCGGTTGAGAAAGAACAGGGATAAGAGAAGGACCAGAAGGGCTGCTACACTAAGGCAGGAAAAGCTACAGTTTAAAAGTAACATTAGCAATTAATACAGCTTTAGCACAGCACTCAGGTAACACTGTTACTATTTACCTATCCTGAGTAACTCTTCGGCTAGTTAAAAACGTTTGCAAGACAGGAACTTAATTCCAATTGTTAGAAGCCCTTTCTCCTCTTTCCACCCTAAACTGGCATATCACCAGCACAGCTTCCAATAGTTCACAGAAGACATCTGTCCTTCGCTTGTCAATCCCATGTAAATCTTTATTTCTCTACTGCAAGCAAAGCTTTCCTCAAAATTAAACTTAGACTAATTTCTGGAGAGTACTTGGGAGGCTTGGTTTCATATGAAACAGGTTGTGCTTACTTGCCTGTGGCAGTTTGTTAGTTTTGTACATTCAGACACTGAGTTTACAGTTGGAAAAGCAAAGTCTTAATTATGAAGTGATTTCAATACTTAATCTTCTAAATCTGACTTTCTAAAACACACACTACCAGCCTTCAAGTCAGTCTTTTCTCACTCCACACCAAGATGCAAATGCAGGTGTACAATTATGTGACCATTCTTTTACTGCAGAACAAACACCAGCYTGCAGGAAACATCCCTGATATCAGACTGTGGCCACCACAATTATAAGAAGTTTTCTAAACAGAAACCTGAAAGGGCAAAGAGAGCCTACAACTGATTCGGGAGCTTCCCAGATGACCCCAGGATGCTAAAGTGAAAGATAGAAATGAAGATAGTCTGTCACCACATGCAACAAAGCCGAGCAGGAGCAGASAGAGCCCTGATCTTTCTGCAAGGTGCCACAGTTCTAACTTACAGGTGAGGCAACATCAGACACAAATGACTGCTGCTTTTTCAAAGACTTGAGACAAACACCTGGCTAGCAAAGATTTTCTCTCTCCTTTCTTCAGATACTGTTTGCTGCAGCGTAACACAAAAAGCTTCCAACTTCTTTTTTTTTCTAATTCTTCAGAAGACTACAGGGAACAAGATCTTGCAAGATGCTGGACACCAATATCAGGGTATGAAACACCTACACTGCAATAAAGATCATCTTAAACAAGAGATCCCAGCTTGGACATGCAATTAAATGTCCCATTTTTTTGCATATAAAGTGTGCACAAAGACTTTATCGGCTTACATGAAAACTAAGCAAATTAAAGCKAGGATGACATGAGCTGCAACATATTTTTCTGTCTATGAGGAAGGAAGAACCAAACCAATGTTTCTGTAATTTCTTTTCCCACAATTTAAAAGGGTTTCTGTACACTTCTTTGTGAAATAAGCTGAGTAATAATTACCTCATCACAACATTTTCCAAACACTTATAATCATGCACTGCTGACAAAGAACACGAAAATTTCTCAAAGCAAGACAGACGCAAAGACTTTTTCACTTCTTCAGAGAACAGAAGCTTTCAGAGCAGTTTACCAAAAAATCAAGATATATTATTTCCCAAAGCAAAATAACACATTGCACTTGGAAGATGTGTGCTCTCCATACTGAATAACACCTGTTACATACCTGAAGGGGTTTCTTGAGCAAGCCAAGTCTCCCCAGCAAGTCCAGGTTGTAATTACACTGATCAAATCATCCCCACATGTTAAAAAAATGGAAAGCAAGAAGTAAAGATAATCTTAATGGATCAACAGCTTCTGATTTCATGCAGCACATGAAAAGAATAAACATGGAAAATTCTGGCCACACATTAAGGCAATTCTTACACCCAAACAATTTGATAATGTTACACTGCATACCAAGCCAGTTTTTTCATAAATAATGATCTAAACAGAATACTAGTCAATTCACCAAAAGATATCAAAGATATCCCTTTATTACAAATGATCCAAGTATCCCCCTGGAGGCTATGGCTATCAGAAAGCATTTAGTTGGCTCTCCAGCCAATAATTTTCAGATCTGTTTTATTATGAAACTGTAACACATTTTCAATAACTTGTAGCTTTGCTATACAGAGCAACAAATAATTTCCCAGAACCCTTTGGAAAATCTGACATGCGAAATGATCCTCTAGTCAACTTGTGTATTATTAAGCCGAAAAAAAAAAAACCCATATATCGGATCATTTGATCACTAGAGAGAATGGCAAAGTATTGGRAGCTTCAGGACAGATGGACGAACTTCAGGTCATATAAAACACTACCAAGGCTGTATTTGAAGAAAAATGTGAAAGTTTGTGAAAGCGCCCCGGGTGAAAATACTTTGTGTTGCTAAGAAACATCATCCCTGATGATGGATGAATTAAATTGTCTCAGTTAGCAGAGCCAACTCCAGGCATCCCTCGTTTTAGTCGAATGTTTTCTTGTACTGGTAATTTATTTCAACAGCTATGTACAAATAAAAAGGCCTACCTTAAAATGAAACTGAGACTTTCAAACTTGCATAATTAATGCTAGAAAASAGAATAGAGTTTACATCTTGAACAGAATTTAATAGCTAACATTCAACAATGTAAACTTTGAAAATTAATATTAATACATCCAGACTATTAGGAATTTATTTTAGGATAGTCTGCAGTGAAGTATACTGCTCAACTTCCAAAATTACTCTATGTGAAAGAACAAAACTCTTCAAATATTTCTAAGGACTGAACATCATCAATATTCAGGTAATCAAATTTTAAACACCACTGAGAGAAAAGCATATTCATTTGTCATGTATTGTTATGATGACAACAACATCAAAACCATGCATGAAAGAAATTATGCAAACCACCTACTTTGGTCATGTGGACATTGTCTTAATGTTTCTTCCAGTTACTTTTTTAATGTTTCACTTACTGGTTTTCTCCTGCAGAACATATTAATGAACTTAGAGCAGTGTATCTTTGCTTTTCTGAAATGTTTGCTGTTGATCTCCCACAGACCATACCTGCTTTGCCTGCTGTGCGCTGCGTTAAGTGAAGTCCTTTCCAAGGTACAGATGGAACAGAGCAGGGCCTCCCACCAGCTTCTCTCTCCCCACCAGCTGCACATCRGGCCAGAGAGCTCACCTGAAAGGGGAAAGAACAGCAAGCACATCTCACCTGGCATAGCCTTTAGAGTAGGACACAACAGCAGAGGAGAAGCACGATGAGCAGGGAGCCCCAGCGTAAGGAGAACAGCCCTGAGGTCAGGAAGCAGTGCCACAACTGCTGCTCAGAGATGAGGGGAAAGGGCAGGGCTTCCTTCATAAGCCAGAGAAGAATATGCACATTTTTATGCCAYCCAGAAACCAACACAGTTGYTGCAYTGAGAACAAACCAAGAGTAAAGACYCATTTTCCAAGAACACASTTGGCAAAAAGGARAGTCATTAAAGAAAATGAATTTTTGTTTGTCTGATGCCAAGGCTTTGGGGCTTTTCTTCCTATTTACTAGATTATGTTCTAATGGAGATTTCAAGTTAGAAGTCCCAAATTTTAGGCCTACAGAGTCCMATTTAAGGAAAAAGGTGGAAAACCCTCTATAAACTGTTCTTTGGATCACAMCACAGCTTCCAAGTCAGAAATTACCACACACAGTTACATGCCAGTAATATACTCAGCTAGTCAATACACAGAGGCTCTTCATCCCAAATAACCCCACCACGGAGCAGAGTTACCACCAGAGAGCCCGAGGAGAAGTATTTAACAATGATACCAATTTGGCTGCGCTAGAGGAGATGTGTTTCCTGTGGGCCTAATAAGGAAGAGCTTTACAATCYGAGCAGAAGCTTTTCAAAACCTCAGAGGACATGTCTTATCTGCACCACTTCTGCTTCTGGAATCCCAGAAATCCTGAAGACAGAAGGCAGATCAGACTGCAGCTTTCCTAGGCACAGATGTTGCAATCACATCTGCCTTAACTGTAAGCCCTAGTCCTTGTGACTTCCCAACTCTGTCAGCATCTCTGAGTTGCTTTGGTTTTAGAAATGGCAGTGCAGAGGATAAAAAATGGTTTCTGATCACATCAGGTATAGTGAAACACCAGCATAAAAGAAAAACATGTGCAGATTATGCTCCAAGCAAGTAGCCTGAAAGAAAAGGCTTTGATGTACAGAGCATTTCTTCCCCTGCTCCCTTGTCTACATGTTTCACAAAATAACACTTCAAATATTTAGATCTGATTGACCAAAGTTTTTTTTTTTAAAGTGTTGATCTAGCAGCCATAAAGAATGACCACTTGTGGGCCAGATACAGACATATCATTAAAGACAATTTTTACACACCACTCAGAGAAACTGAGTCACCACCAAGCCAAGAGAGCAGATCCACGTAAACATTCCCCAAGCTTTTTTCTTTTAACTCATTAAAAATCTCCTCCCTAAAAACCTATAGCTACAAGATGTCAGATTTAATTTGTCCAGTTTCGGGCTCCCCAGGGCAAGACAGGCACAAACAGAAAGAACCAAAACCAGCAATGGCCCAAAGACAACGAGGGAATCAGAGCACAACACAACTATTCCATGACTCCAGCTCTAAAGGTTGGGTCTGCAACAAGGTACAGATTGCAGGACTCTGAATATAATAAGCTTCTCCCTCTTGGCATTTTCAGTGCAGGATTATTTAATGTTTTCATTTATTACTTGCATGATGAACAATATAGTGGCAAAATTTGGTAGTTACTCAGGAAGGGCTGCAAGCATTCTGGGAAGGAAGAGTTAGAACTGAAAAAAGTGGGACTTAGAGATTAACACCAGAACTGAAACTGGACTTTTAATACTGAACTGAATGCCAAAATTGAAACATAACTCTTATTTATAATAATAATGATGATATAGAAGTATCATATGCAAAGATGGTAAGATTTATTCTGTTCATCACTGAAACTAAGGTTGTAGACTATGTTCAGGTCTCAATATAGATGCAGGAAASAAGAGCTCAGAAGAAAACATAAGCAATCTGGGAGGGTTAAACAGACTTGGTGAGTACAAAAAAAAAAATAGGTAAAGAAAGAGGAGTCAGGCTTCAAAACAGGTTAACAGCAGCTACAARAATCATGCATCACTACYGCAATATCCACAGCAGGGAAAAAARGRAAARRAAAAAARMCCAACAACCCAAGAAGCTTAACGGGTTAAGAAAAAAATTAGAATAGTATTAGAGGAAATATGCTACCTCTAGGGATGGTTGAACAAGGGATTAGGTTATGGAAGGGTTACACAAATCTCCCCTGATTGTTTTTAAGACCTGGTAAGAAGAACATGTCAGGAATGGCCTGTACATCCCTCTCTGACACTGAACTACGCACTCTCACATACAGTACCGGGCCTCAGCACAGAGCTATGACCTCCAGAGATCTGAGTTTTCTTTCCTAAACTTAAAGGCTGCACGAGTTTAGGCTCCTGCCAGGCAACTCAGCAGGTGACCTGACTGCTCCTTAGAGCTCCAAGCAGGCTTTTGATATCTCTCTTTCCTAAATAGCCAAGGCAGGCTGTGATTGACAATTTTCTCTCACATGAAGCATGCTACCTTAAATGTGGAGTACTCGGAAGGATCCGCCAGGGAAATAAAGTCAAAGTACAGAGAAGGCAACGGCAACTGATCCCAGGAATCCAGTCCTGGGAAGGAAATCACAACTGCCAAATGGTGCAAGGATGCACATCCCATTAGTAACTAGAAATACAGACAGTTATATTTTCCCTTCTAGCACCTACAATAAATAAGCCTTAATAAAAAGAAGTATTTAACAAAAGTACTTAGAGAAATAAGGAGGGAAGGTTTGACGTTCCTAAGCTTATTTTCACAGCGGTATGAAAGGAAATGAGGTAGAGTCAGAGCTAATTCTCCTTATATAATTTCACATGGAATGATTAGTTCTGCCCCAACAGTAACAGCTTTCCAGAGGGTCCTACTTGTCGCCAAGATTGCATACAGATGCTCTAAGTGTAGCTTCCCTATTCTCCACTGACAACCAACTTAAAAGGCCAATATAATATTCATTTTACTATAGAATGAAATTCACAGCGTGAATAGTAAAATAACATCAGAGCTACCATGAAACTGCAGTTGCATGTTGGGGRCTGTGACTTTTAAAAGTTTAATCACAAAATGGATTCATGGAGAGGAACGTGCAGAGCAGCTTTGTGCTTCAGCAACATCCCGTGGTCACTAAGGATGTCCAAGAGTTGTGGCTGGACAAGGAGAGGGCAAAGGCACAGAGCAGCATTTGTGTCACATGCCCTGCTGAATATTTTCCTTTAGAAGGCAGGTTTCAATTATTACTGTGTTAATGCCCCCCTCTCTTAAGCCTGATTAGGACAGACATTCCACATGCTGAAGGTGGTGGAATTCCTAAGTCACCTGGGTCGCTTCTGGGTGAAATACCAATTACTGGCAATTCATCTCAACAGGGCCTACAAAAAGAAAGCCCTAAAAGAGACACCCCTCAGCCCAACGGTGAACATATCACAGGGATAATCCTAAAACTCTCCCCCCCCCCAAAAAAAAAAAAAACCTTGTAATAGGTATTAGTACTTTTATAAAGCACTGCAGTGCTTTGTGTTTAATCCTTGAATAGGCACTGGTAGAAAAGCCATATTCAATTCYAAAATTTCTACTGCAAATTCCAGCTCAGTAACTGCTATTACTGGTTTTTAAAGGATACATACATTTCAAATATACATAATAGTAAATTTAACTATCGATGAAAAATTTAAATCACATGCCAAAACAGCATGCAAAATAATAGCAAAAGAACTTTAAATCTGTGTATTTTGCAGTTTTTAGCACAACCATTTGTTTTACAAAAGACCTGCAGATTAAATACAAAGTACACTATTAGTTTTAGGCACAAGAACAACCAATTTTTTATGCCTTGCCAGAAATAATGACTAATTAGGCCAGCACCACCCTGCAGTCATTTCCATAAATCTTGCCTTTACATTTAAATCACAACAAGAAGAAAACTGACTTAACAACAACAAGAGCATATTTCTCATTAAAGTTTTCTTAAAGCAAGATAGGGACAAGAAATTATTCTTGTGAAGTCAACAAGCTGACGTTATTGTTTATTTGGAGAACTTTAACTCAGACCAAACACAAAGTTGTACTCAGAAATTTGCTATATTAAACTGCAATCCWGCAGCCAGCCAGGGGAAACTTTCAACTGGGAAATCACAAAAAACAGAATTTCACAGGATCCTGATGGATTCCTTATTTTGCAAAGTCATCACACAGCATATTCCTTGTGTAAATGTTGAAAAGAATATAAAAGATGCAATATGTTCAACTACTTGTTGAATTTTTGTTTTCTGGCATATTTGCATGTAAAGTAAATATTAAATCAGAAAGATATGTAGGAAATATAATTCTGAGAACCACAAAATGTGGAGCTGTACTTCAATTAAGAGTTTTATTTTAAAATAATGGAAATTATGGTGCTTCTGAGAAGTCACTTTAATTATATGTTTTAGGCAAGACACTTATAAAACCATCTTATTTTCACAATGCAACAGGGACTTTATTTCAGTTTTATTTACAAACCTGTCACCTGGTAAATAAATACCAATAAAAGAAAAATCAAGATTGATATAGTCACATACTCCACAATAAGGTTATTAACATACAACTCTGRGGTTAGCTTTTTTTTTTCCTTCCCYMAAAACCAATATGATTGGAAARAAGAGGAAAAGGRGTATTTTTCCTAAGAGCTGGTCTAGAAATGGAGCTAAGTCACACCAACASTGCTCTAGCTAATTATCTACTCTGAGTTTTAAGCATTTCCAAACATTTCCTCCTACATGTATGCAGGTTAGTGATATTCTGGAAGCTCATCCATGCAATAGCTTTACAACAGGTCTGTTTCTAATACGTACATTTTATTAGGCTTTAGGAGGATTAACCAAAATTCTCAGCTCTTGGGAAAAATAAGGCATGGCAACAGTGAGGTCTTCAGCCTTCATTCCAATATGCTTGGCCACTGAATCCTGCCAGGGTGAGTCACGCCCGACATGGACTCCTTCCCAAGAAGGAATAAAA